CACACACACACACACACACACACACACACACACACACACACACACACACACACACACACACACACACACACACACACACACACAGAGACATTCACACAGACATAAGCAGATAAAGAGCAAGCATGACAGATACAGAAAGAAAACATTGGAATGCTAATATTACACAAAGGGGATGAAGCCGAAAGTCTTATTTTCACCAGTGACCAGGCAACATTTTAAAACTGTTGCACAGTTTTAATTCCCATTGGACATTTCTTATTCTTTTTGACATTCTGCTCCAGTGCTTAACTTTCAACATATTTTCTATGTGTAGTGTTTTATGTATGTGTGTATTCATATATGTATGTTCCTCCTTTTGTAACAGGATCTAAAAATTAGTTTGAAATAGAAGTCCTCACATTCAATATTTCCATAAAGGAAATCCAAAGCAGAGAGAATATTGAGGCAATTATTACTCAACTAAATCATTTGACCCAGAGAAAATGTATTCAAACAATACACTGAAGGTCACATGAGGGCTTTTTAAATGTAGCTCCTACAAATTGTAGAGAGACTCTCTAATTATCTGATGAAGAATTTTTTTTCATCTTAATTTTAAGATACACTGCAGATAAAATAAAATAAAATAAAATAAACAAACAAAACACTACACAAATCTCCCATGTAAGGAGAATGGATTCTTGTTTGTCTGATGACCTCTGCTGGTCAATGTGAGAACTGCAGTAATAGGTGCTTAAAAAAACGTAAAGCAGAAATATTTCCAAAATATAATTCTTTATTTAAGGTATCCATTATTACATGTATGTGAATTCCTTTACTGATCATAGTGGTTGTGATGGTACATTTTAGCCTTACAAAAATGTATGAAAAAAGTTGTTTTTTTTTTTGTTTTGTTTTTTTAAAGCAACATTAACACAGTCTCATTTCTGAATAGTAGAAAACAATATCTCTCCTGAAACATATTTACAATATGGTTGCAAAAGAAGACATCAAATTTAATTCTGTTACATAAAAATGTATTTACATCTAAATATCTCACTGCTTTTATGTGCAGATAATAAATGCTTAGTTTAGTTAAGTTAAACATACTTACAGGACAGGTAATGTACTTTCATTTGAGTGTATAAATACTTACATATTTCCTGTCTTATCTGTGGTTTTAAGGATCATTGGTCATTTTGGGAAAATCCACATTATACCTAAGAGGATGATTTTCCATTCTGTCACAACAATGAAAGAGTTAGACAAGGAGTACAAAACTATGTTAACTGTTTTGTGATAATTAAAAATAACTGGCCTAAACCTGAACTAACTGAAATGTAGCCCCCTCATTTATAGAGGTATTAAGTATCATGGTGGATGAATGTTTGCGTTTGCAAAAAATATAACATTTGGTACAAGAGGCTCTAGATGCTTCTACACAAAGTCATATGGTTTTAATATGATACAGACACCGAGTGAGTGATTAGATCAAAATATGGTAATGATATGCACTTCATTTGTTGGAATGTGCTGCAAAATCCCTTCTGGTGTTTTCAATCCAGTTTCCTCGTTTCAGTCTAGAAATCCTGCTTCAGTTTTTCAATGCTGAAGTCGTCGTGGTCCAGTTTGGAGAGAGTCTTCCTTATTCGCAAGGCTGTAAGGCGGGCTGTTGGGTTCTGGTACCAGCACTCCTTCATGACCTTCACGATGGCTAACAATATCTTAAAAAGGCAGAAAAAATATAAAACACCACATTTCCAAAATGTAATTGTACTTTTGCGTTCATTTTTATGTCTACTTGTGTGTGTCTGTTTATGCCAAATAGCTTACTGGGTGAGAATGGAGTCTGTTGTGCAGACTGGGCCTCTGCTGGTCCACACACACCACCTTTTTCATCTCCTCAAAGCTGGGATCCGAGGGCACCAGGTCAAAGAAGGGTGGACGGTAATCTTCCACAATGCCTAAAAAACCCCCCAAAGTTAAACAGTGGATCACTTGTTCCCCTCTTGTCATTCAGTGGGGTGATCAAGCAAAATAAGATGTCAGAATTATCAAATTAAAAGCCCAGTGAGGTGTCTTGTTGTGAGGGTTATCTCTTCATACATCTGCGGAACACAAATGTGTTTTCACATAAAGCCTGAAAGAGCACACTCAGAGACTCAGACAGGCTGCGGTGGGAGTTTTGTAAAGCATGTCTCGCTAAACAAGAGAACGGGGAGAGATATGAACTCCCTGGTGACTACATTGGGATGGAAATCTGGAAGTCATGCACACACACATGAACGCACACACACGCATACACACACACACACAGTCATTGGTGCATGGCTGTGTGCTTGCATATAAAAATTGCATGCACGGGCATCTGGACTATGTACAAGTGAGTGCTGACACCAGATAAGACTGTTTATAATTACTGCAGTGCTAATCATGAGAGAGGATAGCAGAGGCAGACACAGACTAGAAAAACACTGGCCTGCTGAGAGACATGGGACTGGCTGCTTGTTCTATATACTCTACAAAAGCAGACAGACGTGTGACAAAGAACTTGTTTTTAACACGCTCGCTCGTGTGATGCATTAGCTTCATAATCAATTTGTGGATATATATCTACATTTGCTTCCTGAGGTTTAATCTAAGGCCAGATTTTTCTGCTAATGGATGGAAAGGCATAACATTAAAAACAGATCACTGTTAACCTACCATTGACAAGAGTCCTGCAGGTAATTTCCCAAAAGACCAGCCCGAGAGCCCAGATGTCAGTTTGCTTATAGGACTCAAAAACATCCACACGGATAGTTTCATCCAGCACCTCAGGGGCCATGTAGCGCTTGGTCCCCACACGAGGGTTATTGCCCATATCGAGGTAGTCATGGGACTGAGAGTGTATCACTGCTAAACCTGAGGAACGAATGAACACAGAAAAAGC